AAATATTGAAGACACAGATATGTCAGTTGTCATTGCACAGCTGCTCTTGAGTGGTCCAGCAAGACGTAGCCTCCGCATGTGTCATGGACAGGATGTGCTCTCGCTCGAATCCATGTGTCTAGTACCGGTCCTGCTTTGCGCGCGGCCGAGCAGCTTCTTGGATTCAGCAACACAAGCCTCCGTCATCTCATTCGCTTGCTCGCATAATGGCGTTGCCTGTCGGACTCGCGAACTTGGGCAATTCGTGCTTTATCAACGCATCGGTCCAGTGCCTCGCGGCTGTTCCGGCCCTGCGGGAAGCCATTGCTGCTGGCACATCGGAGAAGGAGGTTGCCTTGCAAGCGGTTCTTCGCAAGTTGGACTCGCATCAACCCCGCATTGTGCCGCGAGAGCTAACAGCTGTCTACTACCACGGCAGGCAGGAAGATGCCGCCGAATTCTTGGTCCTGCTGCTGGCCGAGTGCCCGGGCCTACACCCTTCTCTTCGGGGGCTTGAAGTACCGCTGCTGCGTTGTCGGCATTGCGGCTACGAGCGCACCTCGCAGCCTGAAGAATTTCTCTCGCTCCAGATCTCCGTGCGCGAGGACAATCCCATGACATCGGTGCAGGAGGCCATGACGCACTACTTGCAGCGGACCGAGATCCGCCAGGACTTCACCGAGTGGTCGTGTGAAAATCCAGAGTGCATGCGTCAAGAGCGAGCTCTCGACGAACCTGTGGGGTTCAACATCATCCCTGAGTGGCCCCAGGTGCTGCAGCTACTCTTCAAGCGGTGGACACTCCACGACGTAGTGGGCCACAAAGTCCACTGCAATGACGTCTTGGACATGTCCGGCAAAAGCTACCGCCTACAGGCCCTCATCACTCACATCGGAAGGTCGGCTAATGCTGGTCACTATGTGGCTTACATTCGGCATGGCTCCGGCTTCCTGAGGATGAGCGACACCAGCGTGAGCCACGTGCCGCAGGATCTGGTGGGCGACTTTGTCTCCTTACCCGACGAAAAGGTTTATGTGGTCTTTTATGTCGCTCTGCCTGCAGCTCCTCGTCCGGATGAACCCGTTCGAGTGCCCGTACTTGACATCGACGGCACCGACAGCGACTCGGATGTCATCATACAGCACGACAGCATAGAGCCGGCAGTGAAGCAGCCTAGTGCCCACGTCGCCCTGAGCCAGGAGATGACCATGCCAAGCCAATCCAAGCGAGCCGGCTCCGGAGGCCAGCAATCAAGTGTTGCCAAAAAGACTCGTACCAGTTCCTACACAGCCGATGAGCAGCGACAAATCGATGACATTCTGGAGGCTGCCAAGACCGTGCCAGAAGCTCTAAAGCAGCTGACAGAGAACATTCCCGGCTTCACCACCAAAGATAAGAAGTCCGACCGCTACATGGCAAGAAGCACGGTGCAGTACCGGCGTGCAGCCAAGAACCGACCGAAGTACCGGCAGGCAGCCGCCACGAAGTCGTCAGCTTGGACAGGCGAGGCCGAGATGTACTTCAAGCCGTTTCAACAGAAACCATCGCCTCGAACTTTGCCGCCGCCGACCACGAAGGCCGCCGCATGGGCACAATCCCAGTCGTGGACCTTCTGCAGCAAATGTGGGAGACACCGACCGCGCACAGCCTCCCTCAGAAATCTCGCCGCCTGTGTTGATTGCAAGCCGGAGTGCGATCCGACAGCGAAGTCGCTGCTGGTTCCCGGCCAAGTCTCCGCCAAGAAGAAGCTCATGGCGTATGTCACTCCCCAGCCAAGCGACTGGGACGAGATGCTGGCCGCCTTGGACTCTGATGACCTGGCTACTGCTTTGACCACGGAGGACTTGGAAACGTTGGTTGTGGTCGACCTGTACGTCGATTTCAAGACCGTGCGCGGCGGCAAGAGTGACATCACCAGCTTGAAGAAACAAAGCGTTGTTCGCGCGGAATGGAGAGCGCAACCTTTGTGCGACGTTCCTCGCAGCAGGGCAGCGGCAACCGCCTTCGCGTGGTTACTGAACAACAACACCACCTACAAGGAGTTCGTCGAGATCCAGGCCAGCTTGTGTTCCAATCATGCCGATAACGACGCAAGCTGGCGCCGCATAGCCACTGCGGACTTGTTGCTCAACAAGCCGGGTATCGAGGTTGCCTGCAGACCATGGCTATACCCGTACGCCAGCTACGGTGACACGGACCTGACTCTTCGACTCAGGGAGCTGGACATCATCAAGACTACCTCGAAGCCAAGCTTGCGTGCCAGTTGGGAGCGCAAATCCACCTCGCGATGTGTCAGCTACGTCAACGACTTCAAGTTGCAGTGTTTGTTGTACGATGTGGCAATGGCTAAAACGATTTCGACCGTCGCCAGTCTCGCGGCCTCCAAGAAGATGGCTCCAGAGAGCCTCGCGTCGGAGATGGACATGTTCGACACGTACTGGCACAATCAGATCCACAAAATGGAAGATATATGCCGTTTGGAGTTCGAGCGTCATCAATGCATGGATAAAGCCATGCCCAATGTCTTCGTGACCATCGCCCCAGCAGAATGGACGTTCCCGTTGCAGGAGGGACTTTTCTTTGCGGATAGCCTCTCCAAGCAGCAGACGATGCTCAGTCGCCACATCTGCCACGTCTTGGACGTTGTCTTGCACGAGTACCTCCTCAAGCCAGGACCTCACCTCCAAGGACTTGGGCTGGCTGCCATTCGGCAGTGGTCCTTTCGGTATGAGTTTCAGTCCCGAGGAACAGTCCATGCTCACTTGGTGCTCTGGGTCGATTTGGTTCCCGGTGTCACCTGTGAGGACCTGTCAGGTCGCACAAACACGAAGCATAACTCGGCTCTCGTCAAACACCTGGAAAGCTTGTTCAATTGCCGGATCGACGTGCAAGCCGCTCGTGGGGGCCACATTCTGATGCGATATGTCATGGGCTACGTGCACAAAGCATCGGACGCGCTGTCCTTCAAGGCCACAGAAGCCTCCGGTCCCGTGCTGTCAGCGAACACCACTTGGAGAACTACATACCGCTTGCTTTGCAAGAAGGCTCCATTAGAGCAGGAAATCGCGCTGGAATTCGCCGGCAAGAGCATGGTCCGCCATTCTTTCTTTGGCTGCAACTACTATGCTCCGATCCCAGGGTCTGCAGCAACAAACCTGAGCCGTGCGGCATACAACGCTTTTCAGCATGGTCTTCGCAGAGGCAACTACACGGGCTATTCTTATCTTGCTTGGCTAAGAGACCATCGCATCGAGCCGTCTGCCCAAGGCGCTTGCAAGGTCACGCCGAGAACGGCCAGCAAGAAGACCGCAAAGGATGTGGGAGTCGCCGTGCAGTTTCCATTCGAACTTCTGGACATCTTCGTGGGCGCGTGGGCTGCAACCTTCCTCGTGGCCATGGACGAGCGTCGATTGTGGCCGGGTGGCAGTCCAGGCTATCCCAAAGGGTTCGAAATCGAGCTGAAGCGGCGAAACAGCTTCGACGCACCTCAAGGCTGTCAGCATCTCAAGGCCGTGCTCTGCCTGGACGACTTCCAGATGCACCCCGAGCGCACCGATTTCGCACCCGACGTCGCGAGGCTGCTGGTAACCATTGAGCAAGACCTGATCATCCGAGGCCTCGCCGCAGATCGCATTGCGACCTTCAAAGCCCGCGTCAATTCATGTGCACTCTTGCTGCAACGCGTGGCTGGAAGACAAGAGGACCCCACCACCTGGAGTGCCCGGCGCATATTCCAGTTGCCACAGCGAGTCTGGTCGAAAGAGCAGAACGAGGTGCTGCAGATTATTGCCGAAGGCACGAACGTCCAGGATGCGAATGAGCTCGACACCAACACCCGTTTGCTGCATGTCAAGGGCGGGCCCGGCAC